TGACCATTAAGTGGAAATACAAAATATAGATAATGCATCAAATCTGTAATTTGCATATTATAATCCTTTAGCTTTGCTTTAAAAAAATTAGAGTTTTTTTTTTAAATTTATATCTTTCCTTATTAAATTATTTGAGTATAAGATAGCAAAAAAGAGAAAAATTAAAGAATCTTTATAAATAATTATTATGGCTATCTTGGTAAAGAAAATTTATTACTAATGGCATATTTTTTTTAAAATGCAACTTTGTTGGATAAAAAATTTCTATTTTAATAACATAATATTTAACAACAAGTTTTTCAAACTTTCAAAAAGAGAGCTGACTTAATACTCATAAATAAATAAGTTAAAAAAATTATATTTATGAAAAAAATAACATTTCTTTGAATAATGCAATATTAGTAAAAAACCCTGTAGCAGAATTTTTTCGAGCTATCTGCAACTAATCTCTCTAGCACAAATATCTTTCTGCAAGATACTTTGAATTATAACAAACATGTATGTTACTAATTGAAAGTAACAAATACGCTGTTTTTACAAAAAAGACTATACAACTTTTTTAAATTGAATAAGTAATAATTTTTTATTTTAATATTATGAATGATATTCTCGCATTTTGCTGGGAGAAAAAAAGCACACATTATTTGTGCGCTTTTCCAAATTATTAAATTTTGTAGATAATCATCACAATAAAAAAAAGTAATTAAAAATCATGAAATCTATGGTTGTAATAGTTGAAAAAAAAGATCGACGACGAAATCATGCTAATCGGACTCCGTAAACGCGTGTTGCGTTTCGAGATTAGGTTGTTATAACAAATAATATCGTATAAAAAATATTGATTTAAAAACTATGGAGAAATCAATCTCGATAGAATTATAGCCTTAAAAAGTACTCAAATGCACGATTCGAATTTTCCATATTGTTTGAAATATATCGGGATATTTAAAATCCACGTGAAAATCAATATCAATAACTGCCGAAAATGCAATCGAAAAATTACATCGATTGACGATACTATCGGCGTAAATTGAGCGTGTCAAAAAGTGATTATCTAAATGCATGATTCAAATATGTGTAAATTTTTGTAGTAAAGAAACCTGAAATTTTTAACTTTTCCAAAGACAAATTTTTCTGTAACGTCGCCGTGTCGCTGCTATTCAGCCACAGAGCAGGGGTCTGTCCAGACATTTTGTGAAAGGTCCGTTTTTCGTGAAATTGTGAAAAAATTAATCACATTCTTTCAACCAGGGTCCGCTTTTATGAATNATATACTTCAATGCCTAAATATCTCTAAAGTGGACCTCTTTTCAGATCCACTTTTTGTTACAGACTTACTCAGAGTCTCTGGAGTCATGGACTTGGTTTAGCTCCGCTTACCGTGTGGGCCAGCAACAACAACATACATTTATACGTTGCTATGTATTATTATTTTTAAGTTTTTCATATCATTAATTCAAATAGTTAATTAACCATCTTAACTAAATTCTGTCATAGAATTTAGTTAAGATTCAATAGCGTCTTAGTATTTTAAAGAGTTAACAAATTAAAAAGTTATTATTTAAGATGCTCGTAGTCGAACTTCTTCCATGAAAATGTGAGCTTAAATTGTTAAAACTATTATTATCGAAATTTTACCTTCATCTTTTTGCACACTAATTTTAGTTATGGTTCCGAATGAAGAAAAAAAAATCTTTATTATTGTTAGGCTTATTTTCAGTTGTTATTTGTAAGATGTTTTTTCTTTCACGGACGCTTACTACACAAAAACTATTCTCCTATTCTTTATAATTCTTTTCTTTTAACTCAAGTAACGCCCCAGTCCTCCTCCACCTGAAGTGTTGCCGATAAAGTGATTTTAGTTAAGTGTTTAAATAAATTGAAGATAAGATGTGAAATCATTTTATAAAAAAGGATAGGAGGAAGTGTGTGAAAAGAAGAGATCAGCGATTTGGTCATTAACCTTCATTGGAGCCCATCGTATAAAAGTGTAAAGGCAAATATCGTTTTCGTTGCCCTTTACAAATTGCCAACCATCGTCATGAACTTTTAGAATAACTTGAGATTGAGACTACGCTCTTGGTTTAATTAAAAGCGATTAAATATCTCATAAAATGACTGAGCGAGCTTCCGCCTTTTAATTGTTCCGATTCATATTATATTGCTACTGCTAAAAAAAAGAAGAAAAAAAGAAAAAAGTAGAGTTGATCAATGATACATAAACTAAACCGTTATGTAAGCGATGCGTGCTATTACTTAATACTATTATAATTTCTTTAATACCTTGATTTCCATTTATGTATTTGATTAGAAGCATTTAAATACTAATTTTTGAGGGGACTTCTCCCAATTTTTCCTGTTTCGAAAATATTCAATTCATACCACTCAACTTTGTATGAAATTAAGTATTCCCTCAAAAGTTCATTGGGGACTTGATAGGGTTTCACAATTTCGTGACTAACAAAATGATGATGGCAATGTGGTCTGCACTGCGCTCTGACCGTATTTCCTAGACAGATTATAGTACCCATCGATGTGAAGCTATGTGTGGGCTTGCCACCAGGGGCGGATTAAGCGTACGCGGGGCCCTGGGCCATTCAAATGTTTGGGGCCCTTAGATTAAGTTTTTTTCTTGTATATTTTTTATTTATTCAAATATAAAAGTATTTATATATCTTTTCATTTAAGAAAGCATATTTAAAATAATAATAAATAGTAATAAATTAAATTTTAAATTATTTTGTTAAATTAGAACTAAAAATATTATCGTATTTTATTAATATATATTTGAAATTGATTTTTTTTATAAAAAAAATCATTGTTTTTCTTAATTTTTAAAAATTTATTTAAAAAATTTTTTTTTAAGGGGGCCCCTAATCATTGGGGGCCCCAGGCGATGGCCTAGTCTGGCCTAATGGGTAATCTGCCCCTGCTTGCCACATAAGATTTAATTCCAGTTCTTCACAAGCTCAAGGCCATTGAGCCATCGCTGCTCAGACCTCTTTGCGTAAAATTTTAATTGATTTAAAACTTGGTCGAATATCTTACAAAATTTGTTTCATATGCATGTTTTATATTTGTTAATTATATAGTTTTTTTAAGAAACTTTTATGATATTTCCTCACATTACTAACAGACCAAGATAAGTAAATATGCAGGCTTGAGATTCTCTCTTGGATTTGCAATTATTTTCCCTCTTTTAATTTCTTTCTTTTTCAAAAATAAATTTTTAGTTTCATTGTAAAATATAAATTAACTGGGAAATCTATTTTACTAAGCAGTTTTCAAATTCTTTAAAAAGTAATCAAAATGAACTTGAAATCGATAGTAAAGGTTAAGGTAAGATGCTGGTAATATGAATTTTTCATTGCAGTTTATTGAGGGGCTATCCACTAATAAATTTTTTATAAGGTTATAATTTTGCAATTAAACTGAGGATTCTGTAGCCAATTTTGCTATCTAAGTCTTTTAAATTAATATAATTAGTTCTATTTTTATCGAAATTTCTTACTAATTACTGCATTATTCAAAGAAATGTTATTATTTTTTTTTCCATAAATATAATTTTTTTTAACCTGTTTATTAATGAGTATTAAGTCAGTTCTCTTTTTTAAAGTTTTAAAAACTTGTTAAATATTATGTTACTAAAATAGAAATTTTTTATCCAACAAAGCTGCATTTTAAAAAATTTAGCCAAGTTAGCCATAATAATTATTTATAAAGATTCTTTAAATTTTCTCTTTTCTGCGATCTTATACTCAAATAATTTAATAAGGAAAGATATAGATTAAAAAAGCCCTAATTTTTTAAAGCAAAAAGCTAAGGGATTAAATATGCAAATTGCAGATTTGGTGCATTATCTATATTTTGTTTTTCCACTTTCTAGTCAAATGTGACTACTTGCAAAATGTCATATTTTAGACTTACCTAGCAAAATATCATAGAACTTAAAAAGTGTTTGAAAATTACTAATAATTTTTGCGATCTTATATACTCAAATAATTTAATAGGAAAAATATAAATTGAAAAAAAAAAAAAAAAAAACACTATTTTTTTTAAAGCAAAGCTAAGGGATTAAAATATGCAAATTACAGATTTGGTGCATTATCTATATTTTGTATTTCCACTTACTAGTCAAATGTGACTACTTGCAAAATGTCATATTTTAGGCTTACCTAACAAAATATCATACAGCTTGAAAGAATTTGAATATTACCAATGCTTTAAATTCAGTAAGATATTTTTGTGTAATATGTGTATAACCAAGTAATTATTTGTGTGTAATCTGATAAAATTTTTATATTTGAATAATTTAATGCAGGAAAGGCATGAAAGTATTGAAATATTTATTATCTGGAATAAGTCGATAACTTATTAATTTATCTCTAGTATGTGCTATATACTCTTGAATGTGTATGACATTTTGCACTCTAAAGTTATTCCATTAAAGATTTGAAAATTTTCAATGATTAATACCAACTCAAAATTCAATTTAAAAATAATTAAATTTATAATTTTTTTTAAAGAAACCCTGGTTAGTATTAAAGTTTCTGTAAATAAACAATGCTCTGCAAATTTTGTAATAAATTCCCCTCCCTTCTCATACTGTTTCAATGATTGGAACTCTTAACTTGCAAACTGGAGGCGGCGATGCGAACTGTCATCTTGCAGTGCATAACCACTTTGCCATACATATTCACCACTTTTATGTCTTTATCTGGAGCTGTATTCAAGTTAAAAGGGTGGGTATTGACTTTAGTGTTGACTTGTATAATTAAAAAAAAGTTTCCCAGATTTTTCAACCCTGTTAGCACCACAAGTCACAGTTTTTGTAAGTTAAATTAATATTAAGGCAGATTATAGTGTAATTCTTAAATTTCTAACTCAACTAATGTTTTAAACTATCATAATATGATTTTACTTTTTAACTTTTCATAAGTTAATTTTCACCAGGTATTGGTATTTATTGTTTGTATACATTTATGTTTTTATTTTTCAAGGTGTGTATAGCAGCTCTGTTGAATCAACATCTTTCTTAGGAGGACCTTCTACTCCACCATCTACAAAAAAAGCTGAAACGGTATTCAAAATTTTTTTTATTTATATGTCTACTTTTTTTTTTTACCTGTTATTAATGACATCCTCTACGTTCTATTATTTTATTTTAGTTCAACAAATTACACTGCTGACCATGCACATCTGCCCTGATATTATTATTGCAAATTCTCATGTTAAATCACTTCCTTGAATTCAGATAAAACTTTTGTTTCTTAAACAAAATGGTGCAAAGCATGCTCCATTTTCATGGGGCATTTCTCTCCCTATATATTTACAGAGTTGGCATGATATAAATCAACTGATTTAAATTTTTGATTAAATTAAGATTCAAATCTTATGATTTTTCTTCTGGAAACCATTGATATTGTTGAAAATATTTTTTATTATATAATAAACATTATTTTAAGGATGTGGTTCTCTAAAAAGATATTTAAGATTCTATCTGAATAAATAATGTGAGAGGAATGTGTGCAAACTATTATTTGATTTCAAAATAGATTATTAAATTAAGAAAAAAGGTCTAAATGTAAATAAAAGTGATGTGAAACTTCATAATTAAAATTTTATATTAGCTGTAGGTGAATCAGCATGTTTCAGTGATACACATTTAGATTTGAGTTTATTTAAAAACAATAAATCATGTAGTTTGCGCTCATGATTTATGAAAAAAAATCTTTCCTGCCATGATTAATTATGAATATTTTTTTTATTTTATGCTTCTTGTTCTGATCTAAATAATTTGTTCTTTATTTGATGTCTAACTGTCAAAGTGGCTCTTTGTCTTTACAAATTTATGACTAGGTTGAATTTGAGCAAAAATAACTGTGTTTTTTATTTTAGTGATTAGTTTGTAATAATAATATTTTAATTTAGACTGTTTTAGTAAGAACTATTAAGTTTTATTAGTTAAGAACTATTAAGTTTTTTAATTATAGTAGTGTTTTTAAATAATATTAAGCATTATAAGCACTTTTATCGAAGCTTCTTTGATTAATAAATATGGAAAAAAACCTGATTTATATTATAAAAATTCCTTTAAAAAATTGCCGAATGTGAAAACCCGAATGTGTCGAAAAAAAAGGTATGTTTATTCAGAGAAAATATGTTTTTTTTTTTGTCTGATTTCGTATTTTAAAATATCTTCCGCATTTATCAATTAGCATATTTGAAGTCACCCCTTCGAACCAATAAGGTTGAGTCCTACTAGAACGTGAAGATCCGATCATTAGATTAAAAGCTATTTAGGGTGGTCCGTTTTTTATTTTGCGCTATGTACATAGAAAAAGCTTTGAAATTTTTCTGTCTGCTTATTTACTAAAATTAGATGTTAGAATTTACTAAAATTGTCTAAAATTAGATGGAAGACTATCTCTAACTAGATTTAGGTAGAGGAGAAAAATTATATTTAGATCTCAGTTTTCTGATTGGATGGCAGGATGGATGGAGAAGGGGGCGAATTAGCCTTAACCAAATTTGTATTAAAAAAAGTGTTGACATTTTGAGGCAGTAAAAATGAAACTGTGAAAACTGAAGATGGTTAAATACAAAAAAAAGCTGATATTTTTTTAAAATCATCCTGTATGTTTAAGGAGGCACATCTACTTTTTGACAATATGGCCATGATCTGGTTGCAGGAAAAAAAAAGAAGAAAAAAAAAGAGTTATTTACATAGTTAATTTTCTTGTGAGGGATTTGAATTGTTAAACATTTTTAAACATGAACATTTGTTATCATGGTGGGTTAAGCTGAACATTGTAATCATATTCATATTTTGGAATTTATTTTAGGTAACAATCAGCAGGAATTGTGTTAGAACTTTATTTTTCTTTATAGAGTACTGTTATTCAAAATGATGGAAACAGTTGAAATGTTATGAAGTAGTAAAAAAAAAAAAANCAGAGAAAGTACGTTTTTGTGTCTGATTTCGTAACTTAAGATATCGTCCACATTTATCAATTAGCATATTTGAAGTCACCCCTTCGAACCAATAAGTTTGAGTCCTAGAACGTGAAGATCCAATCATTAGATTTGAAGCTATTTAGGGTGGTCCGCTTTTTATTTTGCACTATGTACAGAGAAAAAGCTTTGAATTTTTTCTGTCTGCTGATTTACCAACCTGTCTAAAATTAGATGGAAGACTATCTCTAACTAGATTTAGGTAGAGGAGAAAAATTATATTTATATCCCAGTTTTCTGATTGGATGGCAGGATGGATGGAGAAGGGGGCGAATTAGTCTTAACCAAATTTGTATTAAAAAAAAAGTGTTCACATTTTGAGGTAGTAGAAATGAAACTGTGAAAACTGAAGATGGTTAAATATAAAAAAAAAGCTGATATTTTTTTTAAAATTTTTATAAAAATTATTTTTCTCCATCCTGTATGTTTAGGGAGGCTCATCTACTTTTTGACAATATGGCCATGATCTGGTTGCAAGAAAAAAGTTATTTACATAGTTAAATTTCTTGTGAGGGATTTGAGTTGGCAAAAATTTTAAAGCATGAACATTTGTTACAGAGAAATCACAAAACATGGTGGGTTAAGCTGAACATTGTAATCATATTCATATTTTGGAATTCATTTTTGGTAACAATCAGCAGGAATTGTGTTAGAACTTAATTTTTCTTTATAGAGTACTGTTATTCAAAATGGTGAAAACAGTTGAAATGTTATGAAACATTTAAAAAATTAAAAAAAAAATCAGTGACACCCGACCAAAGAAGTAATTTAAAAATCTTTTAACATTTACATCTTACTAAACATTTCATTTAATTTCCAGAAAGTGTTTTTTAATGGTTTTTGACTTAATGGATGGAAAAGAAATATAATTCTTTAATGTAATGCTTTTATAATTTCAAATCTTTTGTAAAACTTTAATTTAAATTTTTTGTTAGGAAAATAGTATACATCTATGTTGATGTAATATTTTCAGTTAAAAGAAGCCTTTGTTATAGTATTTTAAATTAGTATTTTAAATAAAGAAAATTAGTATTAAATTAGTATTTTAAATAAAGAAAATGGCTTTTGATATAATGTATTTATTAAGAAATATATAGTTTTGATTGCTCGATGAAATTTATATTTTGTTGAAGAGGTTTGATTAGCGTATACCATAAGTTGAAGATGTTAATCAGTTCAAATTAGTTTCGATTCCGATTAGTTGAAGAGGTTGGATGTATTTATCATAAGTTGAAGAAGTTCGATGAATTTACCATTCGTTGAAGTGGATGTTGACTGGTGTAGTCATCCATATATTATTCCTGTCAGATGCAGGCAAGCAATTATTTATTAACAAAAATCATAAATTGCATAATAAAGAATCAAATTATAATAATAAAAAAAAATGTTTTATTTTTGAAATTCATGTGGAGCTACAATGTATAAAAATGATTCATACATATAAATTTAGAAAAAGCCCCACAAGGCACCTCCGTCAATCAAAAATGCAAGTGTATTGCGTACCAGTTGTACATTGAAATAGTTTTCGCCAAGGGAAGTTAAGGAATCCATGTATTGGCTGTTAATTGATTAAATTTATTGCCAATGCTCTTTTTTTTAGCCTTACGTATTCAAATGTGTTGGCGAAATCATAACAAATTTTAATGAAATCAAAACATTGGCAGTGATATAACGGCTTTTGAATTCTGTGCTAATATGTTAGGTAGAAGTAGAGGGAATCTCTAAGAATGGATTTATTCTGCACACAATTTAAGGTTGTGGTTTAAAAAGATTACAGATTTATATTAATGGTTTTTATTTATTGAAAAAAGAGTTTTTAAATTATTGGAAATATGATATGCATATTTCAGCATGAAAATATATATATTAAATGTATTCAATTTTTTTTTATTTTTTTTTTTAGAAAAAGGAACTAAGTAAAAGTGAATCAGAAAGAGTTGCTATGTATAAATGCATATTAGGAAGCATAGTTGAAAGTGAAACTGTCTATCTAGAATGCCTTAATATGCTGCTTCAGGTAATTTAAATTTAAAATTCCTCTTCTGTGATTTTTCTATTTTATTAATATTCTTATGGATTGAAATAATAATTTTTTTTAATAGTATATGAAGGCTCTAAAATCAACAATTGGCACATCACAACCTCTATTATCATTAGAAGATTATAATATTATTTTTTACCGCATACCAGAACTCCATAGTCTCCATATTACTTTTCTAAAGAGTCTTAAGAAGCAAATAGATGGTTGGAATGGTACTCAAACTATAGGAGAAGATTTTAAAATTTTGGTACTATACTTTTTATTGATATATTTTTTAAAAATAATATTTATAAAATTTGAGACTTAAATGTGAGATAATTTTTGAGTTTTAATGTGTTATATATTATTTATGTAATTACATTTCATTACAGGCTAGTAAATTAGGTGTTTATGGCTCTTTCTTACAAAATTATTCTAAAGCTATTGAGACTGTTAGGAAATGCAGTGAAGAAAATGCAAAATTTTCTGAAATCACTAAGGTAATTGACCGTTATTCTCATTGCAGTTTTGTAATTTTTGAGTTTAGAGGTTATAAGTATGTTATCAGGGGTCTGTCTAGGTTTTTCTGAGAGGTACCTATTTTGTGAAAATTCAGACCTAATTTGTGAAAATTAAAAATTATATCAAAAAAATCAACACAAAAATATGGATTTATCCTTTCTTACGGGATACAAAAATAAAATTTTAAGAAAGATTATTTTGTGAAACTACCTATTTTCCTAAAGTTGAATTTGTGAAGGTACCACTAAACGGTAGTAAATTTGGCCTGGACAGACCCCGGAAAGTAATAAATATTTAGTTATATAGCAACATGTTGGTGAAAGCTTTTGTACAATAATTTTTACTATAATCTTTAGATTTATTTACGACAAACTAGATTCAATATTTTTGTTACTTAGTATCCTTCTACATCTCAAAAATTTTTGAATTTTAACTCTGCTACTTTGAATAGTTCTAAATAAGAAAGTGTCTTTAATTTTAATTGGAAAGTTACAGATTAATACTTTTTTAAAAGACTAGGTAGCTAGTCCCTGTAAATGCTTCAAATACGTCATTTTTTTTTTCTTCTTCTTCTTTTTTTTAAAATCCTTTAAGCGTTAATATTTTCCTCAAAAACACAGAATATTTTATTTTCAAATATTTTGTTTTCTAGCTTTATATAATATTTTCTTAACGTGTTAATCATAATGAAATGGGCGATTATCTGAATTTGAAAAATAAGCATCTGAACTTGAAAAAAAAGTTTAAACTGAGGAATACAAATTGTGTAACTCTATAATGAGATAGGGTGCGTAGCGTTTTTAAAAAGTGCTTAAAGGTGCCTATTTTTGTTTTTTAAATGCTCATAAGGGAGCGTTTTTCGTTGGGTGTTTAAAGTGCTTAATTTTTCCTTTCCCAAAATAAGATTTTTTCTTTACCGTGTCTATTTTTGCCACGAATTACGCAAACAGCGTGATTTACATTTTGTTCCATTCATATTCACATTTCTTTCAACTACAACCCATTTCGGCTTACCGTTGGTCCGTAGCGTATGAAAGCTCTAGTCATTTTACATGTTTGATGACATAATTTTATATGTTGCGGGTTTACAAGTACCTTATACTGAGTCTGTGGTTTTGCCCTCTCGTGTGCAACTTTGCTCAGAAATTCATGATTTCAGGTTTCATTTTCTGCCACCTGAAATCGAATCGATAAATTTTTTCGGATCATGAGGATCAACTAAACATTGCCAATCCCCCCCTCCCCGAATATCAAATGAAAATTTTATTTTTTTGCTAATTTCATCGCTTGTTTCCCCAACCTTTTTATCACCGCGGACCTGTTAACGTTTGATAATTTTACCGCAGCCCGTTGGGAATAACGACGTTGATGGTTTATATTTTTAGATTATTTTGATTTATTAATTTTAATTTAATTGTATTTAAACCTGCCTTCAAAATAAAATACAGTTACACCAAAAAATAAATATGAAGTAAATGTAAATCTCTCGCCACGCTTTCGTGATTTATTTATGATATTTACAGTTATGATGATTTATTTTTTTTATTAAAACTAATTAGAAGAGAAAATAGTTGCGGTGTTTTTTAACTTTTTAAAGCGGTAAAAAAATTATGTCACTATCTTCGGGAGCCCCTCTTTTTTAAATAAATAAAATTTTAATGGAACACAGATATTTTTAATTTGGAGTATAAATCTAAGAATTTAAATTAAGTTTCAATGAAATGGGCGGCCCGGTACTATTTGATCCACGGAACGGTACCGGTCCGCGGTTGGGGAACACTGGGCTTAATCACTGACAAGTCAATGACGTGCTGTTCTATTTATAGATGAGTATACCATAATTCTAGAACTTGACTTGGGGATTGTTCACTAATTACGTATTTTTATGTGGGTCCAGAGCAGTCAACAATCACTGAGCTTCATCACCTCAAAATTTCCATCTTTCTTTTATTCATTTAATTTGAATAAAATTAAGTAAAAGTAAATGAGATGGAATTAATCATGGGATTTTTTTACCTGAGGGACCATTCACTAATTGCATAAATTTAAACTTCTTATTATACTCGATTACTTATTTTTTCTTATTACTTTTGCTTTTAAAATTTTTACTGCTCTTAAGTTATTTTAGGAAAAAACTCAATAAAATTCTGAAGCAAAATTTTTAAAAAAGTATGAAGTTAGGGTTTTTTCACTATTTTAACATTTTGCATATTCAGTAAAAAATCTTAGGTTTTTCAGATTTGTCATTCCAAAAAAAAGCCTCTTACTAATTTCATTTAAAATAATTTAAATAAAAAATTCAATCTTCTCAGATTTGTTAAATATTATAAATTTAGGGACCATAAAATAATTTACTTCTGACAAAAATGTTTAGCTTCAGTATGCATTGTATTTACATTTCAAAATTAGTGAAATTTTTTTTTAATGTTTCATTAAAGAAATACTGAACAAAGTTACACAATTTTATAAAAATTTAATAGGGGCTATATATTCCCTTACTTATATTTGTAATATGAATTTTTTTTAAGCACTTTCTTAGTTTGCTTAATTTTTTACATATCTTTATAAATTCAGTTTGATCAATAATATTAATCTTGTTTATATTATTGTTGAATATGCTTTTATAAATAACTTTTATTTAAATCTAAAACATACAGTCCCATAACTTTTTAAAATTATAGTTTAAATAATTATAATTTTGAATCAATTTTTAGTTAATTTAATTAATTTTTATATAATTAATTAAATATTAATTTTAAAAGTAAACTCTATATTGGATATATTTATAATTTTGCATAAATTGTTATTATGGTGACTAATATAATCAAGAAAAGAGCTCTTTGTCAGAAACTAGTTATTTTATTATGATCATGTGAAGTCTGAAAATGTTTTTACATTATGTTAATTTTATATGTTCTTTATGTATATATGTCTATATGTGTGTAGAACTTTCAGCAATAGGAAGAAAGATTTTTTGTGCGCATATTCCAGTTATAATAATTTTTTTAAAACAAAAAGTGCTTATTTTTTGTTGAAAATCATGATAATTCAAACATGCTTTCAGCTTTTTTCCAGATGCCTGTCTTGTTTGTTTATTTTTTTTACTGACTATATTTTTTGTGTTTTTATTGTTTTTTTTAAAAATATTTTTAAAATATGAAAGGTTACTCATTAGGTATTGTGGAACTATTTAACTTTATTGGGGTCATATAAATATTAAATAGCATGGTTGTTTTATTTAACTTTTTTTATTTTTTGCTGAGTATAATGAAACATAACAATAGCTAATTGATATTGTTGAACTACGTTTGTAAATTGATTTTCAACTAATTTACTGTAGGGAAGATTTCAGAGTATTTTTCAATATACATTTCAATAAACTTTAAGGTACTTTTAATCGGTTTTTTCATAAATTCAAAAATTTTATGTAGTGTTAAGCAGTTTTTTCATAAAATTTGAATTTATTTTGCTGTTGACTTGTTTCCAAAAATGTCGCCTTCAATTGATTATTTTTTACTTTATAATTACTTTGTAATTTTATATTTTAGTCAATCAAATTAAAGGCTTTGCCAGGACAAGCTACAACTTTAGAAGGTTTGTGTTTTAATTTTGGTCTCAGTATTATTTATTTATGTATTTTTATGCTTAAGGATTATAAATTATCATTAATAAATTTATATTTTTTGCATTTTTTTCCCTTTTTAGATTTGCTTCATAAACCGGTTGCTAGAGTGCAAAAAAATGCTTTAGTCTTGCATGTAAGTTTATTTTTTAGTATAGTCTTTTTTTATTTATTCATTTTTTCCATTATACTAATATGTGAGAAGTCTTTATTATAGATTCATTTTATTTCCTTAGCTAATTTAAAATTTTATCTTATAGGATTTACTTCGTTACACTCCAGATAATTCTCCTGATTACAAGACTCTTAAAACAGCTTTAAAAATGACACAATGTTTTCTGAATGATATTAATGTTTCTGCTACTGAAAGCATGTTCCCAGTGAGTTATTTAATTTTAGAATGCTTTACTTTATCTACCGCTGTGCAATTTTTCTTTGTTTCAAATTTTTAATCTTGACTAAATATTTGTTTCCAATGCACAATAAAATGTATGCACGATCAAAGTTTTTTCCTTACTTTAAGCATTATTTCTTCTACACTATTAAATGATTACATGATTTTTAGTACACAACACAGCTTGTTAAGCAACAGTTACTCGACAAATAAAATGAATTGTTTTCATGTGATCGAAAAATAATAATTGAAACTTTCATGATTCCACAGATATGTTTATTGGAAAGAGATATAAAAATTAACTATAAAGGTTTTAAAGGTTTACATATAAAGGTTTTAAAGTTTTTTATATTATTAAAAAATAACTTGTGAGTTATTTTTCATAGGATGGAGATAAATTTTATTCAAATCAATTAAATCTCTGTGGTTTGCAACTGAATTGAACTCTAAATTATGTAGAAGGAAACGTGTCTTTTCTACAGGAAAATTCTTGTATACATAATTGTTGAATTGCTAAAAATATTGAAATTTTAGGATATCTAAATACAAGTTATGATATTCCTTTACTATCTATGTAAATCTTTCTGAGAGGGTTTTACCTTTTTTTTATTTTCATTGTTAAAATTTTTTTACAATATGAAACATGATTTGTCATTTGTTTATTTAGTCATTTGTCATCTGTTAATAATACCAAAAGTTTAATGACAAAATAGTATGAAAAGGAGATTGTTTAATAACCTTAAAATCAGTGAGAATTTGACATATTAAAATATTTTTCTGGAATCGTTTCACTATATAGTATCTTTCTTGAATCATTTCACAGTATAGTTAAGGTTTTCTCACAGATTAAAGTACATTTTCACTGTAATTCAATATTGAAATGTTCAAAGAATAAATTTTTGTTAAGTTAGTTACAATTGCTTATAATAAACATAGTCCAATTTTTTGTGTGGTTTTTTTGGATAAAAATAAAACTTTTCCTTCACATTAAATGTTCACAATAATTTACTGTCACAATGTTTTCACATGCACTGTACTTTATTTCATATTTATTTATTTGTACTATTTGTTTTATTGGTAATTGATAGATTAGATACAGTTTAGTTATTTTTATAACAGAAATATTTTTGTTGTTGTTGCAGTTTTTAGCTATCTTCCTTTTAATGTATCTTTTACTTTTTAAGCTAACACATTCTTAATACATTAATATTTTAATTCATTATGATTTCATAATTTTTAGTGCTATTCAAAACACATTTTTTAGAAGCTTTAAAATTAAATTATTTAATTTTTTAATGTTAAAGTTATAATGAAGATAATTAACTTTTTATTTTATTGCTTCTGTTACAAGTTGCTTGTTCTCAGTGAGGGTTATATCAATTTAATTTCTGGAAGTTTTTCTCCTATTTTTATAAGTTTTAAATTTTTATTTAAGCTTTTGTTACTAATAACTAAAAAAGCCTGTTTAAGTGTAATTAAATATGTTTTTTTGTGTAAGAAAAATCATTTTCAAATTAGTATAATATGGTTTGGTGTTTAATTATATTTGTAAACGAATAAATAAATAAATAAAAAAATAATCAGTGAAAAAAATCAACAAACTCCATTCTGATTTTTTTTTTAAAAACAAAATAAACCATTTTTTTCACTCTTCTTTTAGACTGCTAGAATCTAAATCTAAGTGTCACATCAGAAATGTTGTATGAGTTACAAACTTTTTTTTCCCCTCAATGTACTATTTTGTTTTTTGTATTTTATGATCTTGGTTATTTATTTTGCAGGTAACTGATAGAGCTCAAAGGCATCTAGTTAAGAATTCTTTTATTGTGGAGTTGTCTGAAGGCCATCGAAAGCTGAGGCACTTATTTTTATTTAGTGATGTAATTGTTTGTGCCAGATACAAACCTTCCACTAGGTAATATTCAAAAGAATTATGACAAAGCGTTTTTATTTAAGTCATGTATATTTATTTCTAGTCATGAACAGATACAAATAAAAGTTTTGAAATTATTCGATTTTTATAAATATTTTTTTATCATTATTATAAGCATTTTTATGATACATCTTATTGTTTTATTTTTTAAAGATTGAATCATTACTGCAACTTAAATATCAAGTAATACATAATTATTACAAAAATAAGAATAAATAAATAAAATGAAACTTATCTTTAGATCATTAATATTTATAAACAGATTTAATATAATATAAAATAATAAACTATGCTGGTGGGAAAGCTAACCTTTAAGTATTACTGTGCCCAAAGCAGCTTGTTTAGATCATATTGTAATGATTTTACTAAATACTACTATTTATTAATTAATTTGAAGTCATTTTTAAACTAAAAATAATATTGGTTGAATATACATAATTCCAATAGGACACTTTTATTAAATAATACCTAAATATAAAGCAATCTACTTCCATTTGTTCCCATAGACTGCAAACTGTACCTGCAAATAAATTATATGTTTAAAAGTAGCTTGAGAACCTAAGACAGGGATGGCGAACCAATGGCACGTGATAGAATATTTTGGGCACGTCACAGATCACAATCGTTGTTGCACTATGAATTGTTATTACGCTATGAAGCATAAGTAACAATTAAATTAAAATTCACATAAAACAAATAAAATAATAAACAATTATTAATAACATATTAACAATTATATTAACAATTATTAATAACATATTAATAATTATTAATAATTAGCAATTATATTAATAATTATATTAATATTAATAATTAATATATTATATAATTATTATTATAACTTAATAATACTGTAACATAATCCAAATTGCACAAATGAGAAAAAAAATTTATATATTTAGTCTGTTTAAAAGACAAAAAATAATGAAAAAATTCCAAACAAACCTTCACTAATTTTTCTTTGAAAGAATGTTCAAGCTCTTCATTTCCCATTTTCTTTGTTTCTGAAAATTTCTGTAAGGCAATCTGGCGAATTTCAAAGTGTTTTCTCTCCAAAATTTGATGGNTTTTTTTTTTTTTTTTCAATGTAAATAAAGAATTTTGAGTTGATAGTATTTAGTATTATTATTTTCCCAATAAGTCAAAATTATTTGATGGCACGTCTATGACCTCATTAAAAAATTTTCTAGAAAAAATGGCATGTTGGTGTATACAGGTTCGCCACCCCTGACCTAAGATATAATTGCTATGCATATCATAAATATTCATTATAAAAAAAATATAAAAATGTAGAATATTATTGAGAATTCACTTCTATTTACTTCTATTCGCTAGATTATTATTGAGTAGTTCTTATTTTTGAAAAGTGCTAAAACTGAAATGAGTCAAAAATAGCATATGATAAAGTTACTACAAGAAAAAAATTTCTATTAGTAACATATAAAATTTCTCTTAATAACATATACTCAATCATTCTAACTCTATTTTAACATTTACAATGTTTAAAACAATAATAATAATAAAATTCATCAAATATTTATCTTCTGCTAAGAGGCATTAGGGGATAAAAAATTTTAAGTTTCTGAAATTGATTGTCGAATACTTATGAGTAAAGTATGATGAAATTTTTCACTATGATTTTATTTTCCATAATTTTTCTCTCTGAATCTTTAATGGAAGGCAAAATAAAAATATGGACTGGACAAATAAACAAAGCAGAATTAATGATAAAGGGTTACAAGAAAAATATCTGAAACTAGCACATGTTACTAAGCAAGCCAAGTTTTTTTTTTCACTAGTGTGCATTTGAAATTTTTTATGTAATTTCTAATTAAATTCTTTATAATTCCATAATTCATATTACTAGAATTTTCATGCAAACTCTTCTAATGTAATGGAACATTATTAATCTTACTATTTTCAATGATTAAGGGTTAATAGTGTTTAAACTGTGCTAAACTTTCAAAGACCTTTTACTGGAATTCACTGGCCAGAGCACCGTATTATTTTAATGGGTAAACAGACTAAAGGAATTCTACTACATTGAGTCTCTGCCTAAGATGAATTTCTCAAATCGTACTCTTCACCTGTAATACAGCAAACAGGTATAAATAACCGTACTGAAAATTCACCTGTAAAACTTTTAACAATTTGGTGGCATTTTACTTTTAAAGAACTTTTTGATGATTGAATGAGCAAAATAGAGTTTTAGGGAGTCGATTTTTAAAATTCTTTATAACACTTCAATGTGTTAAATGCTCCCTATAAATTCTGCAGCTTCAAATCATTGCTCAAGTATTCTTTTCCATGCAGTCCTAATCTTTACTCAGGTATTGCATGTTTACCTTAATAAATTAAATGTAATTTTAATTTAAAAAAAAGTATCCTATTGTAGATTTTCATTTAAAACTAAATATTTTTCACTGTAAAAAATTTAATACATTAATAAACAAATAAAAAGATAAGAAATAAAAGAAAAAGAAAAGCTATTTAAGGAATTATTCATTATTAATTCAGCACTATAAAAAATTGCATATGCTGATGTTCACATTTTGTTTTACAGACAAAAATTTACTTTTGAAGTCAAATGGTTTATTCCTTTATCTGAAGCTACACTTTTAGATTCAACAAGTAAGCATATATTCATTAGTTATATTACTATACGTCTTTAAAATGTTATATTTTGTTTTGCTAATCTATTATTATAAATAATCTTTTATTTTTTTAAATTTTTTTTGAAAATATTTATTATGTTTAATATAGCTGTTTTCACTTTTCTGATATTTTCTGTTTTATTTTGATGGAATTTTAAGTGACAAATCACACTGGGCACACATTTTTTTTAAAGAATCTTCTTATATGATATTAATCCTAATATGAATCTTATCTTTTAATCGCTTATTAGTAGTATAATGTTTCTCAAGCATACAAGTAAATTTTATTGCTATTCTTTTTATCCTATTTTATTAAATTTTACTCATTGAATTTTTAATTTAAGTTAATACAATATTACAATGTATGATTTGTTATTTATGTGGAATTTTCAGTTATAGTTTATGTTTCCCAATAAGTAGCATCATTTCCAAGCAGATAAGTAATAGAAAACAAACCGCAACTTTAAAAATTATGCTCATTTGTGACCAAAGCAATTGAAAAACCCAACTTAAAAAATATTTAGAGTAGTTAATGTAATTTGTAAATAATGTAATTTGTAAGAAAATATATGTATTATTATCAAAAATAAAAATAAATTAATTGTATATATGTAGGAAAATATACTTTTGTATGAACAGAAGTTTCAAATTCCAAAAAGTAGAGACATTAATTAAGATGTAAAAATATTTAAATCTTTCAACTTTACTAGTTTTTTTAATGAAAGTTTTCTTGAGTAAAGCATGTTCAAAATAAATGCAGTTTAAAATTTATGTAATTTATCTACTGTAAACAAACAATAAAATGCAAATCTGGCATAATTTAATTTTAAAGAAGACAAAGTGGAGCGAAACTTCAAATGATTTTTCTGTTTAAAAGTATGGTGCATTGTTTTTTTAGTTTTTGAAACAATTTGATATTGTTCAATTTGAAGGAAATGAATCAAAATTAATTGATATAAATATTGAATTTATTGTGGTCCCTCTTTTTTTTTTATACAGTCCTCATCCAATAAAGGTTGTACTGCACAAGAGAAGATATAAAATTATTTGTAAATCTGTTTATTTTTCTGCGTGTGCATTCATTAGGTTTAAGGGGATATATTCACAACATATATTATATCCATACTTTTTGGATTGTTTATTTAAAAATTAAAACTTTTAACAGTCACAATCTGCCTGATTCAATTTTAGATCAAATATTGCAATTCATTTTGTAATGCTTGTAAAACATAGAACTGTTCTTCTGTACTCAAAACACATTATAATTTTTCGATTGTATGAGTAGTAATTCAGTTTATTTTCAATTATTGTACCATTTTTCAAAAGGTGCAATTATTTTAGTGACTATTAAAATAAAATAAAAGAAAAAGGTATTATTGTGTTATCGGTGAATTTAATCAATATTTTCAACATTTTTCAAAATGAAGTATTTCCAATTACAAGTTTATATTTTTGTTATATTTCTACACTTGCTGTGTAGAGATCTCACATATAACGCTTGTTTTCTTTTGAGCATCAAGTATTTTTTTGTATCTTGATTTTCATTTTAACTTAACTTCAGCTTTATTTATTCTATTTTATTTATTCTGAATTATAACTTTTTATTCTTTTCAATGTCCTTTTTATTTCAAGCTTTATTTAGGATTAATCTTTTCTACAATTTGTTTAAACTGAAGTTTTTTTGGGGCTTCAATTTTAAACTGAGAACTTGTGATCTTTTTGTTAAGTGATGTAGCAAAGTTAACTGTTAATTGAGCTCATTGCTAAAAGGTAAATATTTGTCAGTCAAAACTTAATTCACATTTTAAAAAAGCACTAGTTCTGTTAGTTGGTTTGTTTGTTGATCTATTAATTTAAAAAAAAATCATTGACTTAATTTAAATGATTTTTTAAAGGAAATTTTTGATTTAAAAACTTCCAAATCATTTTAATGCAATTTTTTTATTGATTTTAAGTTTTAAATTTATTGTAAATATATTTCTGTGTTAATCAGTTTCAGTTAGTGTTACATTAGTGTTACTCAGTGTGAGTTAAATAAGCTATAAAAGGAAGCATTGATAGAATTAATTTCGTTTCTTTTTAGCCATTTTTTTAGTAGTCAACAAGAAGTATCTTCAAAACAAGTAAAAAATCCAATTTAAATAAATAAAATGGAATATAAATGGAATTGTTTTGGTTTTTAAAAAAAAAAATCACGAGACCCAGTTTGGAAGCATATTTGTTATTTGATGCTGAGATTTTTACATAATTTTATTTTTTTGTATAATTTAAAATTTTCAAATACAACTCTTGTTTTGAAAGGAAGCATTCTTGTGTTAAGGTCTTGCTGTGAATATTTACATAATAATAAAAAAAACATGTATGCAGATACGTACAAAAAATATATACTCTATGTTTGTTATGTCCGTAAGTGCTATTATTTTTAATTTACAGTAATTATTTTTTTACCTTAATTATTTGTTATTATTTATTTTAAACTAAAAGGGAATCCTTTATAAAAAGTAAATCGGATTTAATAAGTAGCAGTAAAATAATTTAAATGAATGAAAGTTATTATGCTTGTTATTAGACACTATTGTAATTTATATTTCAGGTGAAAATGAATTGGTGAAAGAAAACTCGCCTTATGACATTTTATCTTTGAAATCCAGAGCTAGCAATGTTCGAGATCAAATTTTAAAAGAAGAAAGAGGAAAAGATGTACATAAACTTTTCTTATAAATTACTTTTGTTTTCATAATATCTTAATAAGAGAAAATTAAAATACTTATCTTTTAGAGGAGAGCTGTTGGAAGAAATGTGGATAAACATAAAAAGAAATTAGCAGAATTGGTGAGTTTAAGTAAAAAGTGTTGTAAAAGAAAAAAGAATATCATCATTTTTTGCTTTATCCTTTATTAATTTTGTGTATGTCTTTTAGGAAGCTCAGCTGGTTCTTGCTTCTCCAAATCTGCTCTTTCGAGTTGGTCAGAAATTAGGCAAAAGTTATACATTCTTTCTTTCATCAGAATTTGAACGAGCTCAGTGGCAAGAAGCTATCAGCATTCTTCAGTCTTCCGGTAATTATTTTGTCTTTAACTTGTAATTTAAACTAAAATATAATTTTCTTTTCTACTTCAGAAGGCCAATTAATATTCTACAACTAATGAGAAACAAAACTAAATGAAATCTAAAAACTAATTATGATTTAATATATGTTGTGTTAAGTTAAAAGAATAAATATTTACTTTATTTGATTTAAGATTTGAGTGTTTTAAAGTTTAATTTAGAAAAATCTTGATAAAAATATGTTACAATAAATTTTCACACTGTTTCTGTAAACACTTTTTGTAAGGGATAAATAATCTCTAAATCACTATTTATCAACACTACAAAATTTTGCACATAACTGGCAAAAGCATATAAAGACATAATAGATAAATCTAAAATAATTTCAATTTTTTTTGTTATTATTTGTAGTCATTTCTGTTGGCTATTTATTAGATAAAGCTTTAAGAAGGTCCTTCCATCAAAATGAAGTTTAACTATATTCGATATCACTTGGCATAAAGTTGTTGCTCAAGGTCAACGCGTGATAGTAAAATTTAATTACCACAATCAAGAAATTTTCCCTGGTACCCATTCATTTCTAGGGGTCATATAAAACATATTATTAATATATTTATATTAGGTACAAGTATTAAATACTTTAATTATATGATTGGTACCCATTTAAACACCACCACTTGCTGCAGAATGCTAGTTCAAGCAGTTCCGGATATATTTGAAAGGCACACTCACAAACTTCATTCTTTTTTTTCGATATATCACCTAGTTTTAGTTTAATTCATTATTTCTTGAACTCTAAAGCAGTTTTTCTTTTTACTAGCACCTTAGAATTTTTTAATGCAAGTTTTAAAATTTTCTGACTATAGGGTCGCAATAACTATATTTTTCATTAAAACACTTCTAGGCTATCCTGAAAAATATAATTTGGTGACTTTCAATTGATTTTTTAAAAAATTATGGAGACCCCATTTAGAATATCTATATATATTTGTAGAGAAATGACTTATAAGAATCTTATTCTCAGATACCTCGAGATAACTAATTTTTCCACTGAAATTTTAGCTGATTAAATAAAAAATGACGAATTGAACTGCTGACAATTTGTATGAATTTCGTTTAGGGGAAATTTATAACTGTACATTTTCAACAATTGTTTGTTGACTTATTTTTTATTTCACTTTTCGCAGGGTGCTAGATAAGGTACCAAAAATGATGTGATTGTAGGAAATATCTTTCTTGTCATAACTCGTTTTGAATTTTATATTTATGCAATGTAAAAATATTATACACCATAATTTTTTTAACTGTTTTGTTTTTATAGCTTCTATTACTGCATCTCCTATTAATTTGTACGAGTTACAAGCTTGGGTCACATCATGTCGTAAGGTTAGTTTTTGACTACTTTTGCTTTCTGTTAGTTTTAGGTGACATGAATTTTACATTGTGTGTAAACTTCAGTTGCACTTTTCTACTGTAATAGCTCTTTAATATTAAATAAGTAGAGTTTCCTATTTACACACACGCACACACACACTTATTTTTGACAAGCTCATTTTTTTAACAATTTAATTTAAAAATCTATTTTTAAAATTCTCTTTTAAGTATTTTATAAAATTGTCTGATTCATATTTTTCAGCATCTTGGCACCAATCTGGGATCATTTCTTCTAAGATCAGGTATAACTTATTGTTGTAAAATTACAAATTTTCATTATTTCTTTTTTGAAGTAGTAATTAGATAATGTAGTTTTAGAAAATAAAATTATTAACAAATATTTTTGTTTGTAGGAAAAGATGAGGATCTCCTTGTTGGAGATTTGCATATAGTAGTTCTTAGTTTGCATGGACTGTCCAGACCTTCAGGTTCGTTTTAAGATATTGTACTGTTACTGTTAAAATTTTGTTTTTGAATTTGATGTTTGTTGTCTTCTCATTGAGGTATAAGGTATAACTGTTATTGTAATCAAACAATTTTTTTCAGTGTCAGAGTTTTTTAAATTTTAGTGTTATCTTTTATGCTTATTGATGTTTTTCGTAATTATACGTAATTTCGTCTATACTACTTGAAATATTGCAAAATAATTTTGCCAGATAATTATTTCTACCTGTTTTGTGAAAATGAAATAATAATCCTGAGTGAAGGTTGTGATTTTAGTTTCATAAACTGGATACTCGCCTAATTTTGTAATCCTTATGCTATATGGTTTGTTAAGGTCATGATTATGAAAGTAACCACTTGTTAAATATTTTTTTTAGTACAGAAGCTTGCATTTTTATTTCATGCATCAGTATGATTTTATTCTAAATTTTTTCAACTTAATTTCAGATGTGTATCTTTGTTTTGAAGTCGATTCTTATGGTCACTTTTTTAATAAAGCTAAAACGAAGACGTGTTTCAATACAATGGAACCTGCATTTAATCAAGTTTGTATTCTTTAAAATCTTTTATTGATTGAGAAAAATAGTGTGTAGTTTAATTTTGTGTATGCTTTATGTTATGTGTGCTATCTTTTTTCAAAGAAAATTCTCTCTTGATTCCAAAAAGTTGTTGCTGTGTAATCCTAAAAATAATATTTAATTGGTTTAGTGTTCTTAAAATTTTTTAAAAATGAGGAATTTAAAAGCTTCATATTTTTGAATTTCGCATTTTAATTCATAGAAAAGTCTTACAAATTTTGTATGAACTTTCAAATTTATATTAAAAAGTTAAATGTAATATTGAGTATGGACAATATTTTTGTAAAAGCTGCATTTTTTAAACTCACTGAGTTATTTTCCAAGTTGTATAAATTTTAAACGTAATATTTCACTTGATGGTGTTGCTAAGATTTTTCATTGTTATAATTAACTGAAGTCTTGTAAGTTTTCAGAACACTACTAATTCTAATTATTGAAAAAGTTTGAAAACATATTCATAAATTAGTAAAATTCCTAAGGCACTTGAAGTATTAACCTTTTTACGCCAACTGTCACCTGTACGTGCCGGCAAAAAACGCACTCACTTCCGACCGACATGCCGGCGTGCAAGAGCGTTTTCTCTTCCACCCCCGGCCATCACCTATTAGTGCCAGTGTCCTGGAACGTTTCAAAAAATAAAAGTTTTGCTAGAAGACGGGATTATATGTCCATATGGTTTCAGATACATGTAGATTTGACCTTCTACTCAAAATGAGAGTAGTATGACTCACATAAACATGGTTTATAGGGGGAAGGAATGAAGGAGAAAGGAATGTTTCCGAATGGCATGCTTTATGACGGCTCTTTAATTTCGCATGTGGTATTTGTTTACAGTGAGCAGGAGAGGTTTTTTTTTTTTTTTTTTTTTTTTTTTTTTTTTTGCTGCTACCGCGTTGGGTATTTCGATTTGCGATCCAGTTTTTAGTGGATAGTTAGGTGTGAATTTTTTTCTCTTTTTACCTTTAGAATGTCGAAGCTTCTAAAAATTTTAACTGAGCTAGAAATAGCAGAAATGATGCAAAATATTTCAGATATTGATTCTGAAACAGATTAGGATATTAGTGATAGTGACACTATAATATATTCTGATTATTCTGATCATAAAGAATCTAGCGAATCTAATGATGATGAGGACATTTCTGACATCTGTATGCCGAGCACATCGAAAGCAAGTTGTACTTTTCCATGGTCATTCACAGTAGAAAATTTAACACAATTACCATTCAAAGCAGTGCCTAGACTAAAAGTGGATAATTCGGTTGAGGAAGAGATTGATTTCTTTAGGCATTATTTTGATGATACTATAATGAAAATAATTACGGAACAGACTAATCTGTATCAGAGGAGTATATATTCTGAGGATGCATCTGGTGCATGTTCTTTGAACTATTTACCTGTCCCAGAGAAAGAAATGTTTGTTTTCTTTGCTCTAACAATTTTGATGTGTATTATAAAAAGACCCAAAATCAAAATGTACTTTTCAATGAATTCCATGCTTGCAACGCCATTTTTTAATTGTGTAATGAGTCATGATCGATACGTTGCATTTGTTCGATGTTTGCATTTTGCCAACAGTGATGCCAAAAAAAATCGATTCCTCTCTTAAAGCAGGCACATGCTAAACAGCCAATATGTTGTATATTTTTTTATGCTATTTTATTTTGATTACATTTGATTCAAATGGACAAATGTCATATGCACAACTTTGAGGGCCAATCAAATTTTATTGTATGATAATCATATTCTTTTCCTTTTATTTTATTTAAAAAGGAAAAAAATTGGTTGTCCAATCAAAATTTTTTTAAACTTTCACCTCTAAAAAATGTAGCAATGTAATTTTTTTGCAATTTTATGCTTTTAAATCAGCGACAATTAAATTAAAAAAATTTTTTTTTTGTGGTCTAGTGTTTATAATTGTTACATTCATAATTATAGTATTGTAATCAATCTCCTTAAAACTTACCATTTATTAATCATTATTTTATCAGTTATAATAAAAAGTCATTAATTGTAACTTGGTAGTGATATTCGCATTTATAGTTTTTGATATCATGCATTTTCTTTGTTGCAAAGTAATAATTCACTTTTTTTTATTTGTAAATTTAATTTTGCTTTATAACTGTATGTGTTAAAAATGTTTTAAACTTGAATTCTCATTAATGGTTAGCTATTCATGCTTTTTAGGATTTTATAATTGATTTGGAAGGTTCTCAAACCTTGAGAATTCTATGCTACGAAAACACCGCAGAAGGGCCAATACTCAGAGGGAAAGGAGCTTTAGAGCTCAGTCAAGCCTGGTTAACAGACAAAATACAGGAGAAGTCAGTCAGTTTGCAAGAAGTATGAATTCAAAATAAGATTTTAATACAATTTGTTTTAACTTTTGAAATTTTATGATGCATAATATTAGATTCTTAAGCTGATCTTTCATTGAAATTTGAGTTCCTCATTTGCTATTAATTGCATTATTTAGAAAATAATTTTGCATATTTTTTCAAACTGTTTAAATTGATTGCTGAAAACAAAATTTAGACTGATTACTCTTTTCCATATTAATTTAAATTAATTAACTAATTTAGTTGAAGGAAGTATGCTGAAATTTATTTTTATTAAAACTGCTTTCGGCTGCATCAAAATTATTGCTTGCTAGGATAAAAATTATAATTTTTTGTGCTAATGTGCAGTAAGTTAAAAGAAAAATATATATATATTTTCAAAACTTTAATTTTTATATTTTATTAAATGTATGGAATCTGAAATTTGAAAAATCGAACTTTACACAGGAAACACATTAATATTTTGAAAAGTGATTTAACTTCAATTATCACAGTACAATTCTTGATTGTGCACAAATAAATTTGATTTGAAAATGTACTTCACATTAAGAATTCTCATAAAGTGTAAGGACGACATATTTAAACAGCACTTTCTTCCTTTATTCAGTAATCGTAAATGCACTTTCATTCATAAAAGAATCTTCTTAAGTGACAGAATTGCACTATACCTAACAAGAAATGTTTTTTTTAGGAATAGATTTTGGCTACAAATGTGACTTTAAATTTAAATATTAGAATTGATTTAAAATCATTGTCAAATATTTGTCGCCATATATAGCCGCTTCTTTTATTGCTTGTGAAGGAAAAAATATAACATAAGACAGTTTAATTATCAGTAGCTAGACACAACTACAAAAAAATTCACAAGACAGATACATATGGGCGATTTTCTTAAAACCTCAACTTTGGATAAAGTCAATAAGGAAAAATTCATCTCAATTTTAACTTAATATTGATAATTTTATATTAATATCTTGCCTTTGAGTCACAAATCCACAACCAGCGAGAAATAAAGTAAGTAAAATATACCATTAACTAATGGAAATAGATATTTCAATGAGAAATTTTGCTTAAGGATGCAAAAGTTAACGAAATGAGAAAATAATCCATATATATGTTCGAAAAGAGATTCAAAACTGAACTCTAGACTTTCCTTGATTCACCTAAGGGAATTTTCTGAATCTAAAGAGGTTTATCCAAAACAGTGCGAAATAAGAAAAAAATATGATTAAGATTTTTTTGTCTCACTACAAAGTGTAAAATATGAAATCAATTATTTAGTCCCTACATTGATTATTTTTCGTGGTATCATCTTTGTAATGTCTTCGAACAAGTTTTATTAATGTAGGCAAATTCATTTAATTTGCTAAATAGTTTCAGAAATATTGCTAAATACACAAAAAAGAAGAAAAAAAAAATCTGAACATAAAAGGGCTTAAAATTTTAACCACTCTTCTTACTGAGCAAAATATTTTCTAAATTTTGGTCACCCATTATATTTTAAGAGTAAAAAGCTAAATCCATCTGAAAAAGGGTATTTTTATTCAGAGAAAATGCATTTTTGTGTATAATATGTAACTTAAAAATAGTGTGTGCTCTAATTTTTTAGCGCATAATAACCTTCAAACCATGAAGTTTGCATCAGGGTAGGTGAAAATTCTACAGTTTAATTAGAAGTTTTTCTGAGCATCCTTTTAAGTAAAGTTGAAATAAGTGTAACAAAGTAGAAACTATTGCTTTACATAATAAATTAATCTATCCTTTTGTAAAATTGCTTTGTTTTAATACATTTTAAAAAATAAAATAAAAAAATTGAAAAAGAAAATAATTTAACCAGTGTTGTGATATTGGTTTTCATTTTCTATGTTTAAAATGCAATATCTATTATGCATCAACAAAATGCTCTTTATTTTATGTAATTAAATTCACATGCTTGCACTAATGTTCTTGTGTAGTAATTATTTTTAACTGTATTATAAATCATGTATTGTAAGATCATTAAATTTTTATCATCTAGTGAAAATTTTGTAATCTTATAAGTCTTTCTTGAGATTTCAGGTGTATAATGGGAGTATAATTTTTTTCTTCAAATACCCTTTATTATTCAAATAAGGGGTAGGTGTTATGCATTTTTGCATTGTCACTTTCTTTTGATATTAAATAAAAAAAATTCAAAATTATCCATGTTCTATTCTTTTTTTAATTTGTATTGTAATTTTTTTTCTGATATCAGTATTTTATTTTTTAAGCTTATGTTGACTGTTGGTTTGAAATATGAGCCACCAGAACTTTCATTAAGAAGAATTCCATCTTCAAAGTCAGGTGGAGTGTTTGGTGTGAAAATTCAACAAGTCTGCAAGTAAGTATTATTCTTGAAATTGCTTCCAAATTTTTGATTTAAAACATTTCAAATTTTGTTTAAATTTGATATTGTACATTAAGATGTACTGAATTTTTTTTTTCTCTCTTTCTTTTTTTTTTATTAAAGGCTACGGTGCAGAAAATTTATCTCAAAGGTACTGAAATTCGAAGAATAATTAATTTTGTGCTTACATCTGTTGATAGCAAATTGAGCCCAAACCTTGAAAAAATGTGTGGTTTTCGCAAATTTGACTATCTATTAGTAGCATTATGCACCAAAAAAAAATTTTTTTTTTCTTCAGAAATTTAAATTCTTTGACATACTTTCTTTTCAGCTCAGCACGACATATGATGCCTTATTTTGCATGTAGTTCATTCTTTCTAAAATTAGCTTTCAAGTACTTCTTTCTTGAATAATGCAACCAAGCCTTGGAAGTAACATAGTTTTTTTTTCTGTCAAATTTTGAGCATTGTTGCATTGCCAGTTACATCTGTACTTGTTAGAGCTTTAATGCTAACAATAATATCTTATAAAATTGTACAGTGAATAATGAGATACCGAAGTAGTTATCATAATCTTATGTAATTATATAAGAGTGATAAAGTGAAGGAAAGTTTCAAAAAGAAAATTGAAGATTTAAAAAAAAAAAAAAAATTCTGATACTTCAATATGTATCTGCTTAAAAGTGTGTGTAAAATAACATTAGATTTCTAATACAAAAAGATCACTGTATTGAGTTTTGTGAGTGTCCTGTGTTTATCATCTGCGACAGTCAAGAAATAAGTAAAATACCCTACATTGAACTAATTATAAGTTTCAGGTATTCAAAGAACCTGTAGACAAGAAAAGATATAGCAAAATATTAAGCATAGAGAAAAGGTTATTTGAACATAGAAGAGAATTTTTTAATCTTAATTCAAATGCTTAAACTCTCCTACAAAAAAAAGGGCATGATTTAGCAATGATATTTTAGAAGAATTTTATGTCACTGTAGCAGGCGCAATTCAAAATAAAAAATACTGTCCTGATTACTTTAGATTATCAGAACAAATACAGTGATTGCTTCAACGGGGGTTGCAAAATGTTGGTTTTGAAGCATGCAGAACAATTATAACCTACTTCAAGGGTTATATTTTGATGTGAAGCATGATACACTTGTGATTGAAAAAAAGCATACACAATGTAATTTTTTTTCAAATTGTAAACAAGGAACATTGCATTTATGTCCTTATTTATATTCATGCTAAACTTTATTGTTCTATCAGTCTGTTGGTTATATGGAAAAAAAATATTCTTATCACAATTGAGTAGTTCTGAATTTAATTATTGAGTTTTTGAACTTCAAAAATCAATAACCTTGCATTGTTCACTTATTTGTTGATTTGTAATTTCTATTTATAATTGAGATCCTAATTAGAAACGTTAAACTTACCCAATATTGTGAAAAAAATATAGTTTTTACTTTCAAATATGATTTAAATTTTATAGTATATGTTTAAAATGATTTAATATTATGTATGGATTATAAAGTGCAATATCATTTTGATTATATAATTCTTCATTTGTCTTAGTTTTAATATTTTTTATTTAATTTAAAGTTATTAAAAACCTAAGCAATATGTGCTTAAGAAATAAGACATAATTGTTTTAACCCACTGGTGCTTTAACAAATGGGTAAAATTGGGAGACTTGTTTCACCCCAATTCACTATTTCTCTATCTATTGACATGGAAAAAACCTGGTTTTTTAAAAACCGGTTTGCGGAGCAGATAACTGCAAGTTAAAATATGACTTTTTATGTGCAAAACCGTCAGTGGGTTAAGCTGAGAGATTTATTAAATTCACACAAGTTAAAAGGAAACACATTCTGTTTGTTTATATGAGTTTGTTTAAAATGTGCTGGAACTTTTTTTCAGGAAAGAAAAATCTACTGTGCCATTTATTATCCTCAGTTGTATTCGAGAAGTTGAAAAACGTGGCATACACGAGATAGGAATATATAGAGTTTCAGGTTCAGCATCAGATGTACAAAGATTAAAGAAAAGCTTTGAAACAAGTATGTTTTTCACACTTAAAATTATGTTATAATTTTAAAAAAATATATAATTACTTTTAATGCTTTTTCCAGCTCTTCCTCTATATAATGACTGATACATTAAATCTTGACTGATATATTAAATTTTTAAACCAGAGATTGGCCGCCTTACCTTAGAGCCATTAGTTCCTGGTGTGGCATGTTATTTTTTTTAGAAAACCAAATATAAGTACTAAAATTAGTAATATTTTCTGAAAAAAAATAATATAATACTTATATGCTGTCCAACATGTATTTATTGTATAAACATTTTACAAAACATCAAAAGAATTCTTAACCATTAATAATTTTTTTCAAATGGTACAATAAATTTATTTATCATGATTTTCTTTTTTTTAAAAATTCAATATTTTTACAACATTTTGTTTTCCTTAGATGGTTTAATTTTGAGGTAAAGCGTGACATTTACCTCTTATATTATTGAATTTCGTATTGTTTATTGAAAATAACTGCTCCTTCTTTATTTTTCTTAAATGTATCTTTCCCCTATGATGTATTATTTTAAATTATAGTTATATGCATAGAATGATAATATTCAAAAAGAAAATATTGACATAAAATTTATTTTATAAATTTTATATTGTTTGTATTCTATTAACTTATGCATATGCAATGCTTCATTTGTATCAAATATTTCCAAAATCCAATAAATAATGTCAGCATACTTGTTAGAGTTGAGCAACTTGTAAAAAATTAATTTCTTTAATTATAATGATATTTTTAGGATATCCGCACACCTGGAAAGTCATAAATTTCGGTATTGAACAAAATTTCTTATGATNTGGTAAGACATATTTTTTTTTTTTAAAAAAAAAACAAATATAAGTACTAACATTAGTAATATTTGCTAAGAAAAAAATAATATAATACTTATCTGCTGTCCAACATGTATTTATTGTATAAACATTTTACAAAACATCAAAAGAATTCTTAAACATTAGTAATTTCTTTCAAATGGTACAATACATTTATTTATCATGATTTTCTATTTTAAAAAAATTCAATATTTTTGCAATATTTTGTTTTCTTTAGATGGTTTAATTTTGAGATAAAACGTGACATTTGCGTCTTATTTTTTTTTGAATTTCTTATTGTTTATTTTGTTTATTGAAAATGACTGCCCCTTCTTTATTTTTCTTAAATGTATCTTTCCCCTATGATGTATTATTTTAAATGATATTTATATGCGTAGAATGATAATATTCTAAAAGAAAATATCGACATAAAATTTATTTTTTAAATTTTATATTGTTTGTATTCTATTAACTTATGTATATGCAATGCTTCATTTATACCAAATATTTCCAAAATCCAATGAATAACAGCATGTTTGTTAGAGTTGAGCAACTAGTAAAAAATGAATTTCCTTTATTATAATGATATTTTTAGGATATCCACACACCTGGAAAGTCATGAAAAATCATGGAAAGGTATTAAACAAAATTTTGCATGATTTTTAACTATTTTTTTAAAAAAAATCATAGAAAGTCATGGATTTAGGTCGCCAAAAAATCACATTTTTAAAATGAAACCCCCCCCCCCAATTTCATGGTGTTCCGAAGATTTGAATTTTTAACAAAATCCCCACTCACAGTCTTATTTTATTAAAATATAAAATATTTTTATCATGTTCTTTAAGAATTATGGTTTTCATTCAAAAAAAAGGAAAGAAAAAACATTTCTAGAGCTAATTATCTTTTAAACTTCTGTGATTTTAGAATTTTTATTACTATTTTTATTTTATCAATATAAAATTCTAGCTGAAGCAAGCCAGTCATTCTCACATTTTTTTTTAAAATTCCGAAATGAGAACAGAAAAATCAGGAGTATTTCTTTCCTTTCTGATGAACTAGAAAAGTATCTTTAGAATATAATTTTGCAGAAAAAAAGAAAAAAAACATATTTGCTCAGCTATTATTTTTTCAGCTATTTTATTGCTTCAACTCTTTCTTTCCTCTGTTTTTTAAATTTAAACTCTATAAATATGAAGATGCAGAGTTTTGGTTATACCTATCATTTCAATTAATGTTGTTATGATGCTTTTTTAACTTTATTGTTGTGTTTTTGTCGGTAAAAATAGTAACTTCGTTAAGTCATGAAAAATTCTTGAAATTAGTCAGGAAAAGTCATGGATTTGAAAATCTAAAATTTAGCAGATACTCTGTATTTTTTTCACATTTAATGTTTCGTATACAGTTGAAGTGAACCTTGGATGTAGTGGACACTGTTGCCATGAAATTTTTTAGCGACCTGTGTCCGAAGACACATTTAAGTAAAATTATTTGAAACCCTTATAGTGAACTGCTGAAATATTGGTAGTTCGGTTATAGTGTATTTAAATTTCTTTTCCACAGATTATTTTTCAACCGTCCATACTTAAACTTCCTGGTGTTGGGACTACAAATGACAGCATGTCTTTACAGTGTGTCAAACTACACTACTTTATGCGTAATGCCTTTAATTACTCTTATGAATGGCTTGATAGATCTAAAAGACAGAAAAATATTTCTTTTTGAGAAATTGCTGGGGAAGAAGCAAATGTTAGTGCAGCAGTTGTAGAAAAGTGAAAAGCTGAAATGTGACTGAATATTATTCAGGATTATAAAGAGATAGACATTTTTAATGCCGATAAAACTTAACTATTTTTGAAAATGATGCCCAATTGGACATTAAAATTTTTTAAAAAAAAAATTCACTAATGGAAAGCTTTCCAAAGTGATGGGAATGCATAATGAGAAGCTTTAAAAATAATGCTATATCATGGTGTGTAGCGTTTTTGAAAAGTGCTAAAGGTGCTTATTTTCAATTTCCGTTTTTTAAAAGCTCTTAAAGGTGCTTTTTTCAATGGGTGTTTTTAAAAAGTGTTTAATTCGAAAATCTCATTTTCGAAAAGGGAATTAGATTTTCGCCATGTATAATGTAAAAACATGCTTTTCACATTGTTCTATTCAAAATGTCTAGTATTTTTGAAATATAATTAAATATTTTCACTTATTTTACATAGTCATGATATAGCGACCTCAAGTTATAATGTCCATTTTTGTTTGAACCACAGTGGTCATCATAGTACACATTAATTGATATATATATGTGTATGCATGATACAAAATTAAAGCATATCTATTTTTAAGAAATATAAAGACAAAGAATATAGCTTTATGATAGCATTTGCATTGACTGTTTTCAATGTTTGAAGCATTTAAGACTAGAGCACCTATCATAATTATGTAAATGCATTTAACGGATGTATCTTTAGTTGTTTCTCTGAATATGTTTTGATTAATTTTATTTACTTTTTGTCTAAATATATTGCTCAATAAAGTAATTTTATAGCTACCATGGCTTGATATTAAGCTTTCAGGAACTATGCATTAATAGGTTTATTTTTAACGTAAGATTTGATTTGATTTATTAAATGAATTAACTTTCATAGTATTCACATGATTTTATGAAAGGTAAAATGTATTGATTTTCTGTTAATCAAATGAAAATCCACAAAACCTTACATCTTATAGTTTTTTCAAACCATTGATATGTTTTAAAATTGCCAATAAATTGGTTCCATTAATTACTGTTATCAAATTATAGTGACTTTTTAATTAAGGAAAATTCAAAATGCTATTAAGTAACAGCTGTCAAACTACAGTTTTCATTCAGTTAATGAATGTTGCTGTAGAAAAATGTCTTAAACTTAAGACTTTGTTGCTCTTGTTATTTATCAACTATTTATTGAAGGCAGTAAGTTGAGAGTTATTAAATATGTAATATTGAATAAGAAGTTGTTGCCTTATGCTTGTATTGTTTCTTGAAAGCATTAAAAGGTTTTTTTATTATTTTTAGATGTCTATGAAGCTGAGCAACTTTTGAAAGAAGTTGACATACATTCTGTAACTGGAATGTTTAAAATGTACTTGAGGGAATTACCTGAAGCTCTTTTCACAGATTCTCTTTATCAAAAGTTTTTCCGCGCATTCAGTAAGTTTTAAAATAATTCTGTCTTTTTTTTCTTTATTTAACACTTAGAGGAAATAATTTTAATGTAAGTTTAATCATAACATTCATTTAAAAGAAAAATTCTGAATATTTAATTAAGATACTTTTTTTGTTATTAGGTATGAGTAATCAAGAGGAAAAAAGTAAACTGCTATTACTATTATTTCAAGAGTTACCTGAAATAAATAGAGGAATTATTACTTATTTACTGGACCATCTTGTAAGGTAAGTCACTATAACAAAATAAAGAAGCCAATTGAATGAAAATAAAATAGTGACTATTGGATTCTTAAGAGACAAGTCTTTTTTTAATTGTTAAAGTAAAAATAAATAATTAAATATAAATTAAAGGTAAAATTAGGAAACTGTTTTTTAATTTGATGGTGGATGTTGTTGTTTCTAATGCCACTTGCCAAATACCAGCAAGTTTGTTTCGTGAAACTAAGTGAGTTTAAGGCAGAGGGTGCATTTCTTATTACTCAGTTGTGCAATCTATGGCCAAGAATGTGACAGCCGCACACACGTGACAGTCCATTTATAGGGCATCCCATTCATACATCCGATCATTCATCCACACATCATAATTTTTGACCTGAACCAGAGAATGATCAATCTCTAACTCAATACCCCCAGAGGTAAAGTTTGTTAGGGGACTTCGTGACTTGACATATTTAATGTGCACCATTTACCAATTACTACACGGGTAGTCTTTGGTCGGCAGGGATTGAACTTACTACCTCTTGAACATGGGCTCCAATGCCCTACTAACCAGACTATCCCAGCCAGAAAAAATAATAATGGTCAAAGTAAAAGTTATCACTTATATATTTATGTATACTCAGTATACTATTGCCCAAGCATCTCGTTGCTCCATCTCTCTGCACTCATTTAAATTGCTGGTCCGAAACCGATTCCGGAACATGCTCTCAGAGAATTTCCGTACAAGCAATATACACAAAACCTGGTTCAACCATATTTTAACTATCCCAAATCAGCCCAGGTTTACGGCAGTCGCTCTCTTTAGACTTGTAACGGGCCATGACTGTCTGGCCAAACACCTTTTTAGCATAAACATTTTTGACTCTCCTAAATGCAAGCTCTGTCGCCTTGGGGAGGACATGGACTTGCCCCATATTTCCATCTGTCCTGCGCTCATCTCCACTACTGTATGTGGACGCTACTGGGAAGCTAGGGCCCGTATGGGCTAAGCATGTCAATATGCATTTAATTCTATTTATCTCTTTTTGCCTTGTTTTTCTTGTTATTTTATGCTTTTGTTCTTTTAAATTGGCCTGCCATTGGAAATAAAAAAAAAAATATTTATGTATACAGACCCTTAAAACTCAAAACCATAAGTTATAAAAAGCTGCTATGTAATTATATGCAGCTTCATGCTTTATCTGATTACCTTTAGTTTCTACAAATGTAAAATTCTCTCTACAAATAAACAAATGAAAATGAAAATAATGACCATAAAATTATTTTCAAATTTAAATTGCTTTTAAATTTTTACTGTTCATGGAGCATATGTAATTCAAATTTAGAACGCTGTTTTAACGACAAATTTTTTACAGCATATTCCACAAATCAATAATATAATGCAAAACTGACTCCCAACCTCGAGAAATGTATATAAAATTGTGTGTAAGTATTCATTATTTTAACTTATTAAATGTAATTAAACATATTGTAGAATTCATCAAAGTGAAGTTACCAATAAGATGTCTCTGCATAACTTGGCAACTGTATTTGGACCTACTTTATTAAGGCCCGGCAGTCGTTCTTCAAGTTCATCTCCCTCTGATCTTCTAACTGCTGGAACTGTAGATGTTATGGCCCAAGCTGGCATCTTTTACTTCTTCCTTAAAAGGCATGCTGCTGGTTTGCCTCTTAAACCTGATTCACCTGAATCAAAGTAATTTGCAACACGAGACAATTTCTTAGTGGAAACAAAATGGTGCTTGAACTTTTACTTTGTTTAGAAACTATTTGTTTTCTCATTAATATTTTTTTACAATTAATTGTGTGCATCATTAGGCAGATACTAAGTCAAATGAACAATGAATGCATGTTGGTTTATCACATACTTTATTGGATCCAATAAATTTTAGGAAATGTTTTAATACTTTAAGCAGGACTTTTCTACTTTCTTTTAGAAAACAAAATCCTCCTCAAGGATCCAATAGGACTAATTTTAAGGATTTTTCTATATAAAAAAAAAAGTTTCGTTTTTATAAGTGTGCCTTTTACAAAAAATTATACTTTTCAGAAGCTTCCCAAAATCATTTGTAGGTGCATATTTAGAAAGAACTCTAGTCTTTTTACTGACACTTAATAATTGAAGAATGTTTAAAAGGCACCTCACACAAAATTTGATTGTAACTCTAAATTTTATCCTTATAAACTTAATGGAAAAACATAAAATTCCTATTGGTAGAAAAATTAAAATGGTATGATCCCAAACTAATTGCAAATACCTACTGAAGCACACAGTGTTTGTGTATGTATAATAAAAAATATATATTTATATATATACACATACTTTTATTCTATTTATTCATTTTCTTGCCTGTTAACAAGAAGTGCCCTTCTTGTCTTTGTAGTCTAAAAAAAATTGGAAATCAATTTATTCTAAAGCAAATTTTTTATGAAACTGAGGTACTCAGTGATTCTAAAAATTTCTTATAAAATTATTTTTTACTGTGATAAGAAAAGAAAATATTTCATAGATCTAAAACTATATAACCTTGCATTTAGCAGACTTCAGGAACTGTGCCTCTAGAGACTTTAATAATAAAGGAAGCCTTGAATTATCAGGGGATTTAAAGTAGAAACAGGGAAAATCACAAGGGCAACTTCATTTGCATTTTAATTTTCTTTTGCATTTAAAATATTTTTATTTTGTAGTCACCCTTAGGATTTGAGAAATCGTTAAACATAGTGTTATAAAAAACACAACAAAAGTAATCATATTTCACCATATTAGTTAAACAAGTAGATTTTTTTTAAATAAATTTTTTTCATTTAACTTATTTGATGTATTTTTTATAGGAATAGTAAACTATTATTATTTTATACTTTAAAAACAATGAATATTTAAAAGCAATCACAAAGAGTTTGTATTTTGTACTTATTTTAAGATTTTGATCAAAACATACACATTTAATGACAACAAAAAATGCTTCATTTCCCAAAGCTATTTATTTAAAGTGCTAATATATTTAAATATGTTGATATATTTAAAAGCTTTTAATTCTGTTTGAAAATGTATTTTAATTTTATTTTTTAATGACAAGATAAAAGTAGTTTTTAATAAAAATCATTCGGTGTTTATAATTTCTTTAAAATAAATTACTTTTCAACTAATTATTAGGCAAAATAATTAAAATCGGTTAAAGATAAAAATGCAACTGTTACAACTAGTGGTATTAATGCTGAGATGAACTAAGTTCAAAAATTATATATTTAGTTAAACAAAATTTATGTTTCTTTTGTAGTGTTCATTTTCATGAATTTATATCTAAGCTATTCATTTGTTACATCACAATATAAAGGAAAAAAAAATAAGGGGAACTTTAAATTATCAAAAATATTATGTTTAATGCGAGGCTTCCTTGATAGAGCTGACTCAATTATAAAAAACCAATTCAAAGTAAGCATTATTCACAATCTTTTAAAGTATTCATAGTGTTAAATATATTTATATAATATTTTTTATTTTTAAATTTTTTTTCCTGATAAAAGCAATGGTATATATTTTCTATATTACTCTGAAATTAATTCTGGCTAACACTCTTATGCAGCTGTAACATGATTCTTTAATTCAAACCTCTTGTATTCTTTCGATTGCTATTTAATCATGACTGGTGTTAGTAACTCAACTTTAAATTTAGGTCACAATCCAACTTAAATGGTTAAATAACTTTTTTGGCTGGCCACATGCTATATTTTTTCTCCGCCAGTTAAACGATTCATAGACATTTTGTTAGAGGAGAATTTTCACCTGGGACTTTTTAATTAGAGCTTGTTTGTAAAGTAGAGTTTTGGTCTTATTATAGATATTCGTGTCTGCAATCATCAAAAATATTACTTAAACTATTTATATATTTTATAGCATTAATTACATAACTTTAAAATAGAGGTGAGTAATTATTTTAAATATTTTTGATTACAGTGATAAGGAGTTTACATTTTTAATATTTCTGCTATTAAAAGTTTAAGCTCTCATAATAATAAACTATAAAATTTTGCGTGATAAAATTATTTTTAACATTCATCTTATTTGATAATAACATGTAATCCCCAATCTTTTGAAAATTTCAAAATATTATTCATACATCAAAGCACATATATATCTAAACTGATCGGAAAATGTAACTCTGAATCAAGAGCTTTTGTTCAAGAAATGAGATAGTATAATTGCTATTACCTTGTACAAAATTATAACTCATAAAAATAATGAATGTCAATTTACTTTTAGAAGTAATAATTGGCCAATATGGATTAAAAGTGACTTCTATTTAAGGGCAAATTATAATTTTGGATATCAATCCAAAAATTAATAAACTTTAAAAAGTAATTCATAACATATATGCCTCTTAATTAGAAACTAGTATTAAATTGTTCAATTAATTAGTGTATAATTTAATTAAAATTGTCGCATTTTATTTTCCAACCCCCTAATTTCTCTTCTTCAGAATGTCTGCCATCGAAGTGAAACAGTTGTTGTATTTGTCAATCAGCAGAATCGGAAAACGGCCATTTTTTGTAAACATTGTTACAGAAACCAGTAGTTCAATTGAATTTTGTTGCATAAGGGCATAAAAGAATTCAGGAATATTAATTATTATTTTAACTTGAAACAAATTCCTTTTTAGAATTCACGCTATAACAGTAATAAGTATTTGATGTTAAATTTACACTGTTGAATATATATATTTTTTTGAAAATATTTTTAAAAAATTTTGAAATGCAGTAGTTTTTTTGGGATTACTCCCAACTTAAATTACTAAGAACTCAGATATTTCGAACATATGAAAACATGTTCAAACAAGTACATTAGGCCCTCATTCTATTATGTCTGTTTAGAGAAATAAAGGAAAATCATAATATATTTAGAAGATTGATATAAGTAATGAAACTAGATTTGAGATTTTTGCTATCTTTGCACTGTATTGTAATATCTTAAGTGGCATAAGTTTTTTTTATTTTATTGTAATGCCTTAGGTAACATATTCATTTGTGGTTTATAAATCTATATTCATTGGAGTTGGTAATTAATAATATCATAATTAGCTTTCATTGTTATTTGTATATTGAATATGAATATTTAAAAAAATAAACAGCATTTTGTGTAAATTAGATTTCTGTTGTACCTAAAATGCCCATTCAGTTGTTCTCCCCTTAAAATATCATTCTAAATATTATGAATTGAACTAATTAATAATTTAATGCTGCTTATCTTTAATGTTTTCTTTTAAATTATGTTTTGGGTTAAATAACTAATTTATTACTTTAACACTGGCGAATGTTGGCATATTATACTAGTCCTTATAGTGTTTTAAGGGGGGAAAACAAATATGCTAATTTTAGTAACGCTATACTTGTTTGAATTAACTTTATTTTTGTTAATCTCTGTAAATATATCAATTTTTATCTTATTTTACAAATGGTATTTAGTGTTAAAACAAATTATTTTTATTTATCTAATATAAAATGAATAAAAAAACAGCATTCTTTTTTGTTGTTGAAAATAGAAAACTTAGACCAACTCATTTGCTCACAATGTTGCATTTATACCACAGTGCCATTAAACGTGTGCTATGGTTGTTTGTATTTATACTTTATATGGAAATATATTTTAAATATATTGCCAATTATTTTGTACAATTATACAAATATATTTATAAAAGATTTAGAGTGTTAGTAGTTTTTGTGTAGTCTAAAATATATATTTAGACCATGTTTATTGTTCCCTGGAACTTAGAAAGTATTTCATGTAAGTGTAGAGAATTTAAAACTATTGAGCTTAGAATAAAAGTTTTAAAAAAAAGAAGCATTAATAAGATATGCAAGTATTTATCTGACTAGCATTGGTATAAATATTGTGTAGCTGATTAAACAGATATTTGCCTATGCTGATAATTATAACCCTAATTTCAATAGTTCATTCCTCTTTTACTTGAGCAGTTTTATGGAATACATTTAGGTTGATATGTTTATTTCATGTGATGATGATAGTGTTGTGCAATGTTTTTTTATTTTATTTTTAATAGTGTTACATTTTAAAATTTACTGAGCATTTAAAAGCATCAAAGTTTTATATTACTTCATAATTTCATTCAGATTTGTATATATTTTACTTTATATGGTTGTTAAAATGTTTTATTTTTTTAAATTTCTCAACTACTTAATACTAAGGTAGTGTAAAAATTTATGTATAGCTCTCATTCTTTTCCCTTCACATTTCACTTTATCATAAATTAATTCTTCTTCTCATTTAACTCTTTTTCTTTATCATTTTTAAAAAAATATTAACTTTTGTGAAAACTTTTTTTATTTAGTTTCATTATCATTTATACTTTTTTTTAAAATTTATTTTTTATCAAATACTATAACACTGTATATTTTGAATATATTAATTTATGGTGTAAAAATTACATTTGTAACAAAGAATAAATGTATATACCTAACTTTCAAAATTAAATTGTGAAGGATGAAGATCTTTTGCTAATAAAAGCTTATGCAAAAATTTTGCTTTATTTCCTTTTTTATTGCTGAACTATTCTGACATTAAGTTTATGAGTTAGAAATTTAAATTTCTACAATGAAACAAAATATCTAATGCAAAATGAATTTATTTGAATCAGAAGACTAAATTGAAGCATCATGTAACGTTGGAGGTCAGATAAAATAATTTATCCTCAAAATTGGATGAGTCCATTCTAGCAATGATACTTCGCGTATGTTGTTTCCAATCCCAGCTGGGATAGCGGAGCTATACCAAATCCATGAGGCCGCGAGTTTTCAAAAAATCGAGGAAAAAGAGAATCTCTCAAAAACCTCTGCCATGGTGAAATCCAGGCAATCAAGTAGATGGTGAGGAGTAGCCTTGCTGGAGTTGCACTTTTTACAAGTTGGAAAAAGCTTAATTTGTCCACTCAAGGTGAGGCTCTTAGTATGCCCACCGACAAATCTATGGGTAGCGGTTTGGTCGGCACGTGTACCCTGAAGGTCAAGGACTCCTCCAGGACGCTTGCGGAGATATCAATTGTGATCCGGTGGAACAAGCCACGTTTTATTAACTTTAGATTTGCGGATAGAAAATAAATCAGAGTAAGTGAGGGCCGTGTTTGGAGAGGCTGAGAGGGAAGTACCTTCTTTTGCCAACTGATCAGCACGTTAAATGCCAAAAATGAATGTCATGGGAGGCTGAGAAGGCATTTAATAAACGAAGTATAGAGACACCAGCCTGGTCGTGTATGTTTCTAATAATAAAGAGTAACAGAATCTAAGTGAAAATTAATCTGAATAAAACTTATACTAAAAGCATCATTTTAGAAACTTGAAAAAAAAATCATCACAAAGTTTAATTTTCAGGTTATTATTGAACACGCATTTTAAATAAACAAGCTTTGAAATGGGGGGGGGGGATTTATAATTTTAAGATTTTGCTAACTTTAAATTTCTTTTGCCTAACATATTTAATTATAAATATGACTTAGGAGAATATCCAGTTCATTAAATAAATACTGCAATAATCGTATTCATTTTAATTTATTTCAACAAAAAATACATATAAAATTTGCAATATAAATATCTTGATTCAACAATAAATGTCATACAATCACATAAATAGTATATGGTTTGAATCAGTAATAATAATGTAGCTGCCATCAAGTTCTGGAAAAAAATGGACTCACAACCATTTGTGAACAATTGGTTTAAATTGCCATAAATCTGGATGCCCTTCGTGTTTTACTTTCTTGTCAAAATCTGACTTGCTCCATTGGAATGGAGGAAGGGGATCATATGTGGGTCCACTGATCGCAACAAATTCATAGTTTTTCTGCAGTTCGTAGCTGGTCAACTGTAAAATAAACGATGTGAATAAAAAGCTGAATTTCAATAAAGCTTTTAAAAACTCAAATTTAATAATCAGACTCCCGGTGACTGGGTGGTAGCGCCTTGCGCTCCTGTGACGCATGTCCTGGGTTCGATCCTCGTTGGATCGAAGATTGACCCAGCCTTTCATCCCTTCAGTGGGTCTATAAATGAGTACCAAGTAAGTTTGGGAACTAAACACTGGGGGTTTCGTGTTCGGCTGACCACCTAACTGAAACATCTGCTCCTGCATCCCAGGTTAAGAAAACTGAGATGGGCACAATGGACCTTGGCCCTATACAGGCTGCCGTGCCACTAAGTTAAGTTTTTTAGTAATTTAATAATCAAAGACAATTTTTTTCCCCTGATTCAATGAGAGACACCGTCTCAAGTGTGGACACAGTATAAAAAGGCATTTATTTTGTCATAGCATTTATGCTACTACAACTGGAAATTAAAAATTTGACTGGAGTCTGGCAGGAACTAGACTATTGCATTGGTGTGACAAGGGTTAGGGCTGTAATTAAAATTGTTTCTATATTTAGTACAAGATTTATTTTCGCTACATTTGTCTTAATCAATATTTCTTAAATCCTAAAGGCACTTATGAATAATCCTGAATGAAAAGGAGTATTCATGAAGATTTTTTGTAAAAAACAGGATTACTTAAAAAAAAAAAATTTAATAAACAAAAATTACCAGAAGCTCTCTTTCCCCAAGTTTGAGACTTGATGTTTTATTTTTTCCCAACTTATCATAAAATATTTAAAGATTAAGTTATTATTTTAAAATCATAAATTATTTTAGAACAAATCACAAATTTCAAAATCTGTATAAATTTTCTAAAGAAAAATAATACATTCCGCTATCTCATAACTATTGAATTTGATTTTCCACATTTTTTTTGTATTTGAACATTAAATATTTATTTGTTATATCAGCTATATAGCTCACCATTTTTTCTTCAGTTAAGATAGCATTTAAAAAAATGTATGTGTGTTTTATGAACACTTGGTTATTTAAAGTAATTGAGCATGAAATACCTTCATATCTGTTGCTCCATGCTGTCTGTGACCTAAAGCAGCAAATGGATATGTTCCATTAACAGGATTAAGATCACAGCGAGCTGAAATAGCATTTTCAGCGCTGTAAGGAGGAGTGCAGTTGCACCTTGACAGTGGATCATTAGTATAATCATTGTACCTAAATTATAAAAACATTAATTATTAAGTTGTGAATAAGTGAATCATAATTATTTGCATCACTTAAATTGAAATATTCTACCATAATTAAGAGGCAAAGATAAAATAATCAATATATTTTTTTTTTTATTCTTTAAGAGTAACTAAAAGTTTTCAGGAACACAAATTAATGAATTCCTATTTTAAGATTGTTGAAATTAAATTAAATCAAATCAAGTTTACAGCAGTCCCATCAAGGACATTAAAAACTACCTATTAAAATACAGAAATATTTTTTTCATAAAGAGTTACAAAAACGTTTTAAAAACACAAATCAATGAAATCTTTTTTTAAAAAAATGTTAAAAAGAAATCAAATCAAGTATACAGCCAACCTATCAAAAACATAAAAAACTACCCATTAAAATGACATCAAAATATTATTTTTTTTTAAATAAAGAGCTAAAATTTTTTAGAAACATAAACTAGTTTTTCTATTTTATTTTATAAGAATGCTGAAACTAAATTCAGTCAAGTATACAGCAGTCCCATCACACGCAAGGACAATAAAAACTACTAACTAAAACAATATCAAAGAAATTAAATAAAAAAGGCTTTTTTATACTTAATAATAATCGACTTAAATTTTTACCTCATTAATTTGATCATGGAGTCAATATCTTGAACTTTTTTATGATCTCTCTGAAATATTAAAGCTCGAGGATTTCGCTCGTAAGTGAACCAATCTCCGTATTTGTCAGCATTAGCTTGAGCTCCACTCATAACAAATATATCCTTGAAATATCTAGAATGGAAGTTAATGAAATAGTTTATTATAAATGCAGAAATTTATTAATTTTTTCATTCAAATTTTAAGAAACAAAAACTTACGCAACATTATAAGAAGGCCAATAGCCCTGATTTCGTAACACATCAGTTCTATCCTCACTATGCAAATAACCTCTAAAATGAAAAAAAAAAAAAATTTACCGCATACAGCACTTCAGTATATATGTTACCTTCACTGTATGAAATGTCTGCATTCTACAAAATAGCTTGAGTTTTAGGCAAAGCACTAAGTGTGAGAATTATACACTTTTCCAAATTTATGAAATGTCTAGGCATTTTATATAATGAGGAATACTCTTTAAACAAAGTAGGAAATATAAAACTTACTACTTTTGTCCAACCACAGTATCACATTCCGAATTTTTTTTTAAAAAATAAATTATTTTATATTTTGATAATGTAAAGAACTTCTAAAATATCATAACTAAATTTTTAAATACAATCAAATCAACAAATCACAGTTTTTATTCTTCATTGCAAATATCATACTAATTTTCATATTCAAATACTGTTATATATTATCACTGCAGTGCAATAGAAAAAATCAATGTAAGCTAAGCGACAAAATTGAGATTTTTTTTTATATATTTGGTATTGTGGTATGGCATTTGGTTTGGTAAACTACTCATTAAAAAAAAATTTTTTTTTCAAAAATAAATTCTAATTTAGCATTTATAGGATTAGCAATAGAAAGAAAATAATTGCCAAGCCATTTTTCTCAAAATCTATCGAGATGCACTATAGTTGTTTTAGCGATAGCACAGCAGAATATCTTTTATAATAAGATACATTTAGGCTAACTAAAGGCTAAATAGATACATTTAATGTGGATTTTATTTCTATATGATCTCATAAAATTATTTATAACTTATAAAGTAAACATATGAATTTTTATTCACAAATAACTGAATTTTAATTTACAAGTTACTGAATGATATACAGTTTGAAAAATTTGTAAACAATCTTAAACCAGATTTAATAATGTTTAAAATTGAAAATTATAAACAAGTAAATATTTTAAAAAAATAAGTTTTTTCCTTTTTTAAAATAAATTTTATAATAACTAAAATGCATTGATATTAAAAAAATATTGTCACGAAGATTTAAACAATTAAAAAAATTCAAAGGTTTCTTCTTAAAAAAAAAAAAAAAATCAAATTTTAATCAGAATTAAAGCTATAGAGACAAAATCAATATTTTTTATATTTAACTTTAACTATAGATTAAGAAATTTTAAAATGGAGTAAGAAGTAAATTAAATATATAGAGTCACACAATTAATAAAATTAAATTTATAAATACAGTCGAACCCCGCTATAGGGAACCGTCTGCGGACTCAGTAATGTGTCCACTATAACCGATGGTTCACTATATCCAAATTTTTTGAAGAATATTTTTTGCACAAGACAGTTGAATGATTGAAAATTGGCTTTGCAATTTTGCATAAGTTATTTAAAAATTATTAACTAATTAACAGATAGTAAAGCAAAAATTGATGGAAAAAGTAATTACGTCGCTAAATATTAGTTTTATTTTCACTTTTTATGAAAAAAATTTGTGATTTTTGATTGAACACAATTTGATTTTAAATTGAGTTCATCAATTTTCTTATCTACAATGTGCAAAGAATGCAAGATTTTTACATTTTGAACAAGATTTCGAACCATCTTAACAAAGCATCTTCTACGTTTTCTCTTTCAGCTCCACGCAGTTTTTTCGATGAAACCATGTTTTTCGTTAAGAATCGAATTCAG